CTCAATCAGAGTTACAAACATAAGCTGGCCATAGAAGGTTCAAAATTTGTCTGGAACTGACAAAACGTTTAATGCGTGCTTGACAGTCCCTGTTCAACTGAAGTTGATTGTTAGATTGACTTCTGTCAAACAAGAATGTTGGAAAACTTTTTTTTCAATCAGCTGCTATAGCCAATCAGCTTCAACCACAGAGTTTCTGATGTCAGAGTACAATGTCGCTATGGGACTTTTTTTTCTATAAATTAAGCCTACCTGTTGAGAAAAAAAAAAACTATTGCCAATTTTGCAGAGGAAAACGGATAAAGTCATAAAAGATTTGGGTAGCCAACTTATTACGATTGATGCGAAAACCTTTTACTTTCCATACATTTATGCAGTTTGTACACTATGTATATTTTGTCTACTTTGCTTCTTTAATAAAAAATTTGATTATGAAAAAAAAAAAGATTTGTGTAGCAAGAAAGGCAATATGGTGAATCACCCTAATACTAGTACATGTATGTGGGATGGTGTGGGAATGTTGTTTTCTAAGCCTTGTAAGACTATTTGTTTTATTGTTACTGCAAATGGGTTTTGTTAGATTAAAGTGAATGTAAAAAGGAAAAACCTCATGGGTGCATGTGTAGCACTAATGCTGCATAAATGCAATAAGTAACTGAAAAAAAGCACCCTTAAAGTGGTATTAATACCAAAACAAAACAAAAAAAGAATATATTGCAGCTTACCAATTGTTAGATGTGGTGGCTGCAATTATATGTTTTAGTCTTTTTCCCCTCTCTTTTCACCTGGTGATCTGCCCAGTAAAACACCTTCTGCATTAGAGTTCCCCCACTCTGATGATGGAGCCCAGGGGGCACTTTTGGATGGAAGCATTATCAGTCTGGAGGGAAGGGAGTTTTAGAGGTACTAGAAGATTTAAATACACTAACAAACTGAAGACACGCCACCGCTAATACTTTAAAATCAGTTAGAGCAAAGTTTTTTTTCTTTTAGGTAAAGATTTTAAATGAATACATAAAAGCTGATTATTTTAAGCACCTCCTGTCATTGGTAAATGGTTTGTCTCAACCTTTTTACTGCTACACCTGCAGGACAGCTTGTTCTGTTGCAAAACAAAAGATTTACTGGCTGGATCACCAACAGAAAATAAATGAAAGAAAATCGCATGTAAGAACTGGTAAGTTGCAATGTAATAAATGTTGGTTTTCGGTTTTCGACAAATTGTACATGGAAACTACTGAGGCGCTTGTGGCGCCACTTGAAGACTGTATGTGAATGACAATCACCCTGTCTGCAGAGAAAGAGAGAGGGAGCAGTGCCCCAGGTTACTCCGGAGACTTGGTATAGTATGTGGGGGTGAACACTGCTCAAACCGATCCCCAGGAATCATAAGACAATACGTCTGAGGCCATCTATCACACACAGAATTGTTTTGTCTCCTGGGGATCGGTTTGAGCGGCGTTCACCCCGACATATTGTACATGTTTAATATCTTGCATTCAAGCACTGATTGACTTCTAAAGCCCTAATAATGAATAAATAATGAATAGTTATATGGCAGAAGGGTGGTATGTGGGGTTGCTTAGCTCCAAGTTGGCAGAAGTTGAGATGTGCATATAGCTATCACATATGCACCCCCATCTCCAGGTCTGCTCATTTCAGAAGTACATGATCCCTCTCTCCTAGTGATAAATTGCATGCTCACCCCCATACTCAGGTCCAAAGTGCATGCGCGCCATGTTGCAGGCTAAAGCGTGGTTTCTGTAGACACTACATAACAGTTAAATGACCGCCCTCATTCCTAGCACTGTTATGAAAAAAGTGCATGAGCTCCCTGGCCTAGGTTAAAGCATGAACATAAGAGTGGCTACAGGGGGACTCACGGGGACCCTGCAAGGCAGTATAGTCACCTTAATGTGTATATATCACATGTAAATAGCAGGGAGGAAACATTTTTCATAGTTGTATTTACTTCTAAGGGTACATTATACACCTGCAAGACTATTCCATATGGGACTGAGAGAAAACCCAACTAGTGCACAATGTAGTAGGGATCATGGTGATTTAATACATCTTTTATGGCAGTGACCAAAATTGCATCTTTACTGGAGTTGAGTCATAGGCACTATTAACCAGATCTTTAAGGTCCATGTACGTGAAGACCCCAAACAATGTTTATTAGGCATTCTTTGGGACATCCCTGCTGAAGGTGTACCTAAACAAGCCATAGGTAGGGCACATTTTCAGGCCCATAAGTTAATTTTAAGGCACTGGAAGTCGACCGATCTCCCTACATTGAAAGATTGGGTAACCCACATGGGAGATACCCTATGACTTGAAAAATATATCTATCAGCACAGAAGGTATTTCGGAAAATTTGATAAGCTCTGGGCACCATAGATGGGAACTCTGGGCCTGGGCCCAGTTAATCTTATTATGGACCAACTATTGTTGTGTTGAGGTGTTATTTAGTGTTCTACCCTGACTTTGCCTATGAGAAACAAGACATGCTTGTGTAATATACCTATATGTCTGTTTATACGTTTTGATGGTGTCATAACCCAAGTATGATGTGAACAATTTTTGATGTTTATATGAGATGTTAGTGCATCTCTGGAGTTTGTACTGTCCATTTACACTTCTCAATAAAGTTATTTGAGATAAAAAAAGTAGATTAGTAGGTAGGAAAGTGATTTTAAAACTTCTAATGATGAGATACTGGAAGGATAGCCATCAGTGGCAAGGCAACCCAGCCTAAAATGCATTAACAGATAGTAAAACCAAAAGATACATATAATAAAAGAAAGGAAATTGAAATGAGAGATCAAAAGTGTATCTGAACTCGAAAACAAAAATGTAATATATTGCAGCTTGCCAATCAGTAGATGTGGTGGCTGCATTAGTTTTCTTCTTTTCAGTCTTCTTTTCCTTTCACCTAGTGATCCTGTGAATAACATACATTGTCCTGTTCATGATGGCTATGCTTTCTCCTCCACTGTATCTTTACATAGAGTGTAAAAGAATGAGTAGTTCACACAAAAAAATAGCATTGTCTTTGCTTCCCAGTTAGCTCACAGGTTGGGACAAAGACACTACATTCCTGGCAAGATCAACAGATATTATCTGCAGGCCGAAAATGTTCTTTGCATGAAAAATGAAACCTAATACAGGCAGGGCTGGGACAAGGGGTGGGCAGGAGGGGCAGCTTCCCTGGGTGTAGAGAAGCAACGGGGTGTAGAATTGATGCAGGGTGCTCCACCCATTCTACAGCAGACATTACCAATGGGGAAAGGAGGTGCAATTCTGGATCCTTACTCTGGCCGCTGGATGACCCTGTCCTGGTACTGAATTACAGGCACCACATTTAAGGACTGGTAAGCTGCAATATATTACATTTTGTTTATTAGGTTTAATTATCCTTTAAATATATAAAATAAACAAGCACTATAAAATCATGAAAACCCTATACTATTGCCATAGGTCTAGCAGCCAGGGTTCCCACTCACACAGGGACCTGGTTTTAAAAGTTTAAAATCATTGGGTTGCTCTGCAGCTTTTGCAAAAAAAAAAAAAAAAAAAAAAAAAAACATGTATTTTGTTTGCAGCTTTCAAAGGCCACCTTTTCTCTGTCTTCCAGCCTGAAAATCACAGCTTTAGAAAAACATGGCAAAACAGTTGTTACTGTCTGTCACACAATCGGCAAGAAAGAAAAGTTGTGAACCAGAATCAGCTTAGAATTTCTTTATATATAGATTCCCAGGATTCTAATCCACGTGTATTATTTTCATTGGCTTGAAAAGATTTCTCAAATAAACTTTACTAAGAGACCAAATGCAGTAATTTATACTTACTAAAGCGGAACTCCAGGCAGATATAAGAAATAAATTAATACAAATCTGTATTTTTGAATACATCTTTAAATATATATATATATATATATATATATATATATATATATATATATATATGCAATATGCGAGCATTGCAAAGTAATAGAATTTGAGATGATATCAGCCTATGCAGTCCCTCTAGAGAAGGGCTTAGACTAGAGGAGGGGAGAAGTAGCACAAAGAGCCAATCAGTTGTGCTGTAGTGATCATGTGCTAAAAGGGGACATGCCGAAAGTAGAGAGCCGAGTGACAGAAAAATTAGCTCAGCAGTCGTTTGCTTCTATTTTCACAGCCCCATCAAAGGGTTGGAAAAGAAAAAGTTATTTAAAGTATGTGTAAACCCTCACTTTGTAAAACAACCCATTCAGTTTAAAATAAAAACGAAAGGAAAAATGTATACATATAAATAAAAATTCTAAATTCATGTTTCCCCTTTTTTTATAATTGATCACATTCCCTCTGTTTCTCAGCTGCATAGTAAGCTAGGGGAGGGGAAACAGCAGTCCACTAATCTTCCCAGTGAAAGGATGTGAAGGGGGGGAGTTGAGTGTCAGACTTCTCAGCATAGCTAGAGAACTGAGCACGCTGTGCTCTCATGCCTAGTGTGGTCAGTTTTTAATAGGAAAACAGAAGGACTGGCAGGAATACCAGGGATTTCACACAAAGGAAGCAACACAAAGAGAACAGGATACATTCTCATACAAGTACATGGTACAGCAGGCACACATGAGGAATATGAAACGTTGAGTTGAACCTCCCTAGCGGTCTGATTATTTCCATATTTCTGTGCTCAAAGCATTACATTTGTTTGCATGGAAATATGTATTTTTTTTTATTGTAGGCCTGTAATTTTTAGGAATAATTCACTGAAATCTGTCCGAACAAGAGTCTAGTAAACATCCCTGATATGTTACAATTTGAAACACAAAATCATAAATTATAATTTAATAAATAATCATAAAAAATAATAATATAATAATAAATTTAATAATATAATCAAACCAAAAACACTGAAATTTGAAATTGAGCACAAAGTTCGCACATCACTGAGCAAAGTTGCAAAATCGTTTTCAGTGTCTGATGACGAATTTCCCCACAAATCATTATCACTCAATTCTGCAAGTGGTTCTGATTTACTATCGCTGTTCTCTAGCCGGTCTAAAACCACTTTTGACCTAAAGGGACACTTTTTGGATGCCATGGACGTTTCTCAGTTTCCAGGCAGAAAGAACAGTAAAAATGCAGGCAGGGCACAGGACAAAGCACTCGGGACAAAATGTATGTGAAATGCTTTTATACAGTAATGTTTTACTATGTGATTTTAGTGTATTTAGTGAATGTCACTTTTTTGTCATTTTGAGATTTCCCGCTGTTCCGTCCCCCGTACGTCCCGACGCTCGCAGGGGACGGAACCCAGATGACAGATGCCGGCATCCGCCGGATTACATTGCTGGGGACACTGCAGGAGGGACATCGCGGGAGTGCAGGACTAGGTAAGTGATCGAGGGATCCCGGAGCAGCGCCACATGGTAAGCCCGAGTGTAGCTCAGGGTTACCGCTTGTGGTACTGAAACTTTACCCCGAGCTACACTCGGGAATACTGCCAGGGGGGTTAATGCTGAATTCCAGGTATTGAAATTTTCACATAGTTACATTGGTTCTGTTTGGATTAATGTATGTCTGTATGTGGAATCACTCTAGAAGCTGGAAATCACTGTAGTAGGCACTGCTGCCACAGTAATAACCATTAGCCTCCTGGTCCAGCACCACAAAGCTGCACTGCTGCTTACTGAACACAGGAGGTTGCCTGTTCGGCATAGGCACCATTCAAGGAACTATTTCCATTTTCTCAATAAATGCAAAGTATTCTCAGATGAGAACGGTGGAGATTGTGATTTCACTGCCCCAACTTTCCACCTTATCCTGTCTGAGAGCTCTTTTCATTCATTGAGAAAATACCAAGTGTTCCCTAAAAGATGTCCATGCCGAGTGAATGACCTCCTGTATTCACAATGCAGCAGGCAGTGGCTTGGTAAGAGATCCAGAAGTTGGTGTCAATCTATGTAGTGGTGCTGTGTACTACAGTGATTTCCAGCTTCTAGAGGGATCCCACAGGTATTTTATTTGCATAGTTACAATGGTCCAAGGTGGACCAATGTAACTATGTAAAAATTGCCGTCCCTAGAATTCATCTTTAACTGCAGCTAAGAAAAGTAAGGTTCCATTTCCATTTTTATGGTGCATTACCGGCATTGTGGTACTCTGCAATGAATGTGCATCACCTTACTGCACTGGGATGAAAAAATGTATGGCATGGCAATACACCAACGCATGTATTGGGCCTTACTACAACACATATATGTAAATAGGCCCTTAAAAATGGTAAACTATCCATTTGGACATTTTTGAGTATATTAAAATATTTGATTTTCTAGTCTGGTAAGGAAATATTTGTGCATGCCCTTGTATCACCTCTATCAACAGTACTGTGTTTTTATACTATTCACCCTTTAACCTGAATTGGACAAATCAATGTACAATTTAAAAGTCAGAGAACTTCAAGCTGACCTTTAAAGAACTAGAGAGGAGGTGCATTAATTGAAATCTATACAAAGTTGTCTCAAAAGTTTTGGAGTAGGCATATATTGTGAAAATTCACAGGTGACTTCAATCCTATTACATGCAATCAAAGAATATTGCCGCTTAATGCACAAAAATGTGCTGAAAGGCAGGTAAATGCAGTTTATAATGGGTTTTTGCTGCGTGGCATATAGTGCCGGTATTAAGTATGAGTAACGCATCACCCTATGAGGTCTGTGCCTGTGCCATTGGTTCTGTGTGTGCGCGTCTTTAATAAAATCAGCTTGACCCAAACTTACTGCTCTTTTTCCACCCGCTGTACAACCTGCTTGATGTCTAACGACCTTTACAATCTCCCTCCGTCTATGTTGAGCTTTTGGAATTCCCTCTTTGTATTAACCTTTAACACATTGCTCTGGTATTACCCCCCACTCCTTTTACAGAAGAATGAATTTCACTTAATTTAGGAGAAAGCCAAGCCCAGCACAGATGGAGAGTGGCACAGGTCATGTAAGTGGGAAAAAAAAACGTTAAAGCAGAAAAAAATACCAATACAAAATATGGTTGTATTTTTATATACTGGCTCAGGTGCCTTTCAATCAAAAGTGAAGAAGCTGACAAATACAGACATTCATACCTGAAGAGCTGAAACATTCCTTGGATGTCAAATATAAGTCACTTTGGGGAGATTTACTAAAACTGGGATCACTCAGAATCTGTTGCAGCTGTGGCATGGCAGCCAATCAGCTTCTAACTTCAGCTTGTTCAATTAGGCTCTGACCATAAAACCTGGAAGCTGATTGGTTTCTATGCAGAGCTGCACCAGATTTTTGCATGCTCCACTTTTAGTAAATAATGCCCTATGTAACCTATAGTAACCAGATTTTTATTTTTATGGTGTAACAAACATGGTTGTCAATATTTCCAAGGAGAGCTATAGGAACATAGGTGTGACCTTAAAGTGTATGTAAACCCTAACAACAAACTTCTATTATTTATTCTGAGTCAGCCAGGTTATATATACAACTGATCTGGTCAGTAGGTATGGATGTTGAGATGGAGCTATTTTTATGAGTACCTGTACTAAAAAATGTTGCAATAAAGATTTATCAGATTAAAAAAAAATTATAGATATAGATATATATATATATATATATATATATATATATATATATATATACACAATGCTCAGCATTAATGAGTACACCTCAAAAGATTTGTCAGAGATCGTTTACTCTCCTTTCGAAATCAGCATTTTCTATTGGACACTATACTACAAAATACTCCCACAAATGCGGGCCATTGATTGCAGACAAGCTTTGTTAGTTTGCACACACAAAAAGTATTTTTCCTAACAAATTCATTCAAGACATGCAACAATGAATACACTCCAATGAAAGTCTTAGGAGCAAAGCTAAATTTTAGACAACAAAATCCTAATTAACAAGAATTCAACTACAGGTGAGTCTAATTATTTATTAAACAGGTGTCCAGCAGACAGTTGATTATAAAAGGGTGATACTTAACAAAGATACCACATGTAAGAGAAATTTCACAAGGTCTGAGAAAGAAAATATTTTCTTTACACAAGAAAGTGAAGGCTACGCTTTACTTATCAGTCGGAATACTGTAGCAAAAGTGATACAAATCTTTAACAAAGATGGAACTGCAACCATCCCACAGAGATGTCCAGGCTGTCTACGGACGTTAACACCTCAACAGGAGCATTTCTGATGAGAAAGGTTGAAGAAACTGTAGAGAACTGTAGTTCTCTACAGTTAGCTAAAGAAGTAGAAAGCCAAACTTGGGTGATTGCCTCCCATGACACAATACGGCGTACACTGCAGAGGAATATCATGCATGGGTGTTGTCCATGAAGGAAGCCTCTCCTAAAGCCTATGCACAAAAAAGCCCGCCTAGAATTTACCAGGGCCCATGCTGAAAAAGAAGACTACTGGGACTCTGTACTCTGGAGTGATGAGATCAAGATAAATGTTTTTGGAACTGATGGCTTAAAAACTGTATGGCGTTGCAAAGGTGAGGAGTACAAAGAAAAATGCATAGTGCCTACAGTGAAACGTGGTGGCAGTGTCCTTCTGTGGGGCTGCATGAGTGCTGCTGGTGTCTGGGAGCTACATTTAATTGATGGTATCATGAACTCACAAATGTACTGCTCTATATTGACAGAGAAGATGCTATTGTCACTCCATGCCCTTGGTCGTTGTGCACTTTTACAACATGACAATGATCCAAAACACACATCTAAGGTCACTGTTGCATTTCTGAAGAAGAACAGGGTGAACGTGATTCAGTGGCCAAGAATGTCTCCTGATCTGAATCCAATCAAACACCTATGGGAAATTCTGAAGAGACAAGTTGAGCATTGCTCTCCATCCAGCATCCAGGCTCTGAAAAAGAGGTCATTCTTTTGAAGAATGGATATATATATATAAAAAAAATAGATGTTGCAATATGTTGTTAACTTGTTCATTCCATGCCTAGAAGACTTGGTGCTGTCCTTACAAATCATGGAGATCATACAAAATACTAGATGTAGTAGCATTTTTTTGTTGTGGACAACAGAAAGAGGAGGGGTGAGGTATTCATTTTTGCATCAACTAATTTGAGTAAAACTGAAGATTTTGTAATCTAAGTTATATCCGTCGACATTTAAATGAAATGAAACCTATGGCAGGAGGACCCAGGAGGACCCCACTGCTGACACAGAGACCATACAGTTTGCCAAAATGTACTTTACTTTCATGTAATGAGAGCTGAACAAATTGTTCTATACAAACTCAGTTTTGTCAAAAGTTTTGGAAATTGTAGGACCCAACTCTTTACAAAATATACTACAGCCAAAATGTTGGCACCCTTGTAAGCCAAAACTCACGTCTTTTATAGAGCTTTTGTAAAGCTACTGTTTACCGAAAACGGAATGAGGCCTACAGGAAAGAAACAAAACACATACCTACGGTAAAATATGGTAGGTTATGATGTTTTGGGGTTGTTTTGCTGCCTCTGCACTGGGTAAACTTATGCAAGGCATCATGAAATCTATATCGCACTGTAGGGCCCAGTGTCAGAAAGCTGGGTTTGCGTCCAAGATAACCCTGTGGGTCTTCCAGCAGGACAATATACGTCAAAAAGCATCAGAAATGGATAGCGCTGGAGAGTTCTGAAGTGGCCACAAAATGAGCCCAATCTAAATATTGAACACCTGTATCTTAAAATTGCTGTTGGGAAAAGGTTTCCTTCCAATACCTAGCTGTTTGCAAATGGAAGAGTGGTCCAAAATTCCTGGGTGAGATCAGAAGCTTATTGATATATACACAGTTACAAAGTATAAGTTAACAACTGTCCTCAGCCCATATGTTTTATGACATTTGCTACAAAGGGAATAAAAGTTAGCAAAACATGTGTTAATGCAATAAGTGTTGATCCTACCAGACATTCAGTATATACAACTTATATGAGCTCAATAAGTTAACTAAGTGTTTTCCTAGTACACTTTGCATTGATAATTTAAGAGTTTTATTATACTTGCCTAGATCACCTTGGTGAACTACAGAAAACCTTCTCCCCCTGTTATGGAGATAAGGAGAGGAGTAGGTGTTCTGTAGTCCTAACAAACGTCCTATCATAGTGTGACAATGCTGCTCCTTCTTAGATACAATACAGTAAGTGTTGTCAAGTAGGACAGGAAATGTGTTACTGGCAGGATCACTAAGTGAAGATAAATCAAATGCAGTCTATCTACTGGACTGGTAAGCTGAAATATATTTAATTTTTGTTATTGGGCTTATATACACTTTGAAGACTAATGCTGTCAACACGTTTTTTTAGATTTGTATCTAGTGTGGAAGGAGTAGAACATCACCAATTTAGGACATT